TTTTTTTTTTTTTGAGACAAGGTCTTACTATATAGCACTGGCTGTCCTCAAACTTGATATGTAGACCAGGTTGACCTGGAACTCACAGAGGTCCTTCAGCCTCTGCCTCCTAGTGCTGGGATTAAAGAGTGTGCCACCATGCCTGGCTTTTTTTTTTTTTTACATGATTGTTTTTAATTAAGTGTATGCCCTTGGGTGTGCCTATGTGTGCACATGACTGCAGGTACCCATGGAACAGGATGCCGTGGAGCTGGCATTGTGAGTTGACTGATGTGGGTGCTAGGAACCAAATCCGGGTCCTCTGAAAGAGCAGTACGCACTTTGACCCACTGAGTGGTTTCTCAAGCCCCTGAAATAATTTCCCAAAGCTTTTGCGATGAGACCTCCGTTTAAGGGAGCTCTTAGTGATTCCTCGGGCTGGGCTCGCCTCTGGCAGACGCTCGCAGCCGGTTTTTTCCGCTCTTCAGCAACACAGCCTTGAAAGAACCCTCAGTTGCCTGAACTGTTATAATACGTGTACGGCCAATACACAGAATGGGTTATTTGATAATTTTGAGACTATGTCATATTCCACTTAAGATTCTTCATAATAACCTTGCCGAGCTGTTCAGGGAATTATTCTCAAAGGCTTAAAACCTCACACAAACTTTTCAGTAGTATGATGAACTGACATAGGGTGAGCTTATACAAGAAGTGCGTTTTGGTCCGGGCATACACTTTGCGGGGAACTGGGGTAAGTCTTGTTTTGGAAGTCTGTTCTGTGCAGCGCAGCAATTTAAAGCTAGCAAGAGTTTTGCCACCCATTCCTTAGAAAACCCAAGGCTCTCTTAAAAATCTTCTAAACAGCCACTAGGGGGAGTATGGCAGCCATTGAAACCCGTGAGCTCTAATGTCATGAGATCTTTCTATTTAAAATTTCTTTGCCTCAGTTTCTTGGCTAAGAATAGTACCTATCACGTTGGGGGTATCATGAGCATTACTGAGTAGCCATATACCTGTGCATAGTGGGTACCTGTCCCACAGTAAGCACTTAATGAGTTATTGCTATTAATATTCTAATAGTTATATTAATTACTATTGCTATTACTAGTCTTCTATTAATAGACTATTATACCTAAAAATTGTGGCTCTAAACTGCTCCCCAAAGGTATCAGACATCAGCGAGGAATATTATCTGTCATCATTCTCATCACAGATCACCGGGGACCTGGGACAAGTGAACTCTGAAATGCACTTTCCCTGGCACCATTTTCCAGACTCTGGAGCTGGATGACCACAGTCCACCCTCCTGGGGAGGGCATTTCACAAGGGAAACCCTAGAAGGGTCTGGCCACAGAAGGCCAGGGTGTCCCTCAGCCTGTGGCTGCCTTCTCCACTAGCCACCGCCGGAAAACAGTGATGGACTTACTCTCTGGGGCTACAGACCTATGACTGAGCAGGAGAGAGCCCCCCAACCCCACCCTGAGGCTGGCCAGGTAGCGCATCTTCCACCAAAGGCCATAGGCTAGACATTCACCTGTCCGGTCATCATGCCCTGCAGGTAGCTCAGGGACATTCTCAATGTCACCACTGTACTCTGTCATGACTATAAATGAATTCAAGTTTTCAAAGTGCCCTTTCATCCACTTTTTTTTTTTTTCATTTTTCCTCAAGAACTTCTTAGGAATAGTCACTGTCGTCAGATGAGGATCCAAGGTTGCAGAATCCAGTCACCTGTCCAGATCTTTGTGCCAAGACCACCTCAGCACTGCACCACACCGGAAGAGCTAGACCAGTGGTTCTCAACATGTGGGTCGTGACCCTTTTGGAAATCGACCGACCCTTTTCACAAGACCATCAGAAAACACAGATATTTACATTATAATTCATAACAGTGGCAAAATTACAGCTATGAAGTAGCAATGGAATAATTTTACGGTTGGGGGGTCACCACACCATGAGGAACCGTATTAAAGGGTCACAGCATTAGGGAGGTTGAGAAGCTCTGGTCTAGAGAGATCAAGGGGTCGGGGAAGGGCTAACAGGGTCTGGAGCCTGCATGACACACCACACCTAAGAAATAAGCAATCCTATGCACAGTTTCAGGGCAGCACTCTGCAAAGGGCGTGCTACAGAGGCTTTTGTTCCGTTTCCTGACTGCCCCTCTTTACACATCCAACCTGCCTTGGGTGGAGGGCTCATCTGAGCAGGAGGGGGGAGGCTGCCCCTGGAAACTGCTGGGCATCTTCATCCCATGAGAGGGGCCGCTCTGGTTTGTGGAGCCAGTGATACTAGGTGGACCTTCAGGAGTGCCGAGTTCCCAGCAGGTGCCTGTCACTGGCTCTGGCCTAATGGGGGTTGCAGATGGAGGCTCAGGGTCCAGAAAGTGACCAGCTCTCCTACGCACACCCATCTCTTCAGAGGGGTCTTCCTTTCAGTCTGAATTTTTTAAAAAAGATTTAGTGTGTGTGAGTGTGTGTGTGTGTGTGTGTGTGTGTGTGTGTGTGTGTGTGTGCCTGCAGAGGCTAGAAGAGAGCAATAGATCCCCTGAAGGTGGAGTTACAGGCCTTTGTGAGCCACCTGATGTGGGTGCTGGGAATCTAACTCAGG